CCACACGTACGTTCGAATCGAGTCGTTCAATCTGATTACACCGGCACGAGTGAACCCTCTCGACGTGTCCAACATGAACTTTTTTCCAGTCATCCGCTGCCCCCCGCTCGAACCTCCAGACTCGGTAATCCTTGCTGTTGTCGAAAGCCATGTAACGGTCATCCCACTCGTTTGTTGTGATATGATACGACTTGTACCCCCATTCTTTCACCAGCTGTTTGCTGGCTTCCGCGATATGCATATTGTGAGCGATGGGGATACCCAACCCGTGGTTCGGTCCTGGCAAACGCCAATCCGTCTTCGGGCTTAGTTCGAATTCGTTGCAAATACGTTCGTAGGCCCGTCTATCGTACTGGTTATTTACTGCGTTCCATGCCTTGTCCTGTGGGAGCGGGGCACTGATCTCATTGAGGATACGTCTGATCTGGTAGTGCACGTGGAACGTGAACACAGACTGACTAAGTGGTCCACGCCGAGTGTCGGTCAATGTCACACCACACCCTGTTGTAGCGCACCACACAGCGAAGTTGAGTTGATTCTGCCAGAACTGCATCGGTTTGTTGAACCAAGCATGAACTACCTTAGCGTTAGTCACCGAAAACCTATACCGATCGAACACATCTATGAACTGGGCGTCGAAATACAGCCCATCAGCGACCACGATCTTGTGTGGGAAATCTATGTCCAGTTTAGGGTAAAACACTCCAGGGGAGTACATTTTAAAACTATTATATAATGAGCATATATACTCTAACATGTACATAACACTTCCAGGAATAACGAGCGGCGAGGCCGTTCATCTGATGCACGCGATCGATAACACGTCGGGTCAACTCGAAGCCCCACTCTGCAATATCGCCTACCTACCGCGCTGGACTAACATCAACACCAGCAACAATAAGCTGTTCGTCAGTGGAGCTCGCAGCCAGATAACTGGCGGCTACTACAGCGTGTGGTCGCTAAGCAACGAGGTCTTCAAGCCCCTGGGAGCCGAACTCAAGATGAACGACTCAAACGGCACAGTGGTGTTAATCAACAATGGAAGAAACTCCTTGAGGCTCGGTCGACCATTGGCGAGGACACTCGGTATGTCGCATGACGAGATAAAACCAACAACTACCGTCACAGGCACGAAGTTACCCGACCTAGTACCGTACCGAGAGCTGTGCATTCAGTAGATGGTAAATTGTACGTCTTGCAACTGAAAAACAACATTTACAAACGCGTTGAAGTCCCCTCTGGTGGAGCCCTAGGTGATATAGTAGATACCTCAAGAGCAGTCGTCAACACTCGGTACACCCTAGTCAACACCGGTGATGATAAATGGATAATATACCCATCGTTCGGGGGCAAACTGTTCGACTTAGACGATGTTGAGAGCACTACCGTCGCCCGAAACAAACCATATACGCTCGTCTTCACCGAAGATGACAAGTGGGTGTTGTTACCCGCTAAAGGCGACTGGTTTCTCAATATTAGGCTCTGCTCCCCCTACGTGTTTACGGATAACAAAGACAACTACCTAAACAAAGTCGTGAACAACGGAACCCTGCTCGTGGCTTACGTCCCGACTCAGAGACGTAGCGTAGACATCAATCCAGTCGCCAGTATGGCAGCCCACATGCTATCGAGTAAACCGGGAGTGCAAGACGTGACATTGCAGTTGGTGTCTGAATTCGCTGGCGTGGTCAACGTCCTGGCGAGCCTACCGGATAACGCCACTCTGATCATCAAAGTATACCTAGGGGAACCATCGCGGGATGAGGTCGAAATCGTGAAGGGGATCAAACTCGGGTGGGTGAAACGACACCAGTATCACGTTTGCACCGTTTACGTGCGGGTTGGTGTCGACTCCAAAACCAGTCTGCAGGGAGTCACCGTGATCGTGGAAGACACGATATCACTAACCAAGATCTTCCTACCCGACAACATACACTTCATGTGGGTGAAGTGCACCCCTGAACTATTATCAGAAAACCAGTTGGAAACTATATCGTAATAGTATTATAACAATGACCAGTCATCACCCCAACGCTACGCTTAACGACCTAGGGGACACGGAGGGATTCGATCAGCCTGGTGAGGAAGACGCCTTGTACGTCCTACGGTTGAAAGACAACGTGTATAGGCCTCATCTCATTATCAGATTTTAAAGAGCCTGAATGGTTAGTCAACTTAACCCTGGCCTCACCTCATATCTCATTAAAGGAACATAGTCGTATCTCTGAAATTAAGAATAGCGGTACCTTGCCCGGGTGTTTCATTCTGGGGCCTAATACAAGGATTATACTAAAACCGGTTTTACCCAATATGTTATTGCCATTCGAGGGGGTGAGTTAAGGTATGACTGCTACGGGCACATAGGGGTTCCGGCTATGGTACCAGGCTCCACACTCATCATAGAAGTCTATCTCCTGAGAGCTTATGGTAGTAAAGAACAACAACTTTTACCCGGGGTGACAGTGCACTGGAGTCCCCGGACCCATGGTCAACGTTACCGTATCATCATACAACCGGACCCCTCAACGGCTTCTATAGACCCCTCAATAAGCCCCTCTTATGGGGATCGTGTGGATGCAGAGTTACCTATTAACTTCTCACCTATTCTCCTACATGAGGATTTATACCTTATAAGCCTCAAGTACGTTGATCGACTGTTAACTGAAGCCCAAATAAAAAATATCTCATAAGATATATTATAGGCACACAGGATGGGGCTGTACCCAGTCGTAGAGGAAGTAGCGAAGACACTGGAAACCATAGACGGGTTCCGCTTGAGACAGTTATGTGATGTAAAACGCCAACTAGAACAAGACCGTGACACTCGGAAAGCACTATGTAAGAAGTACCATAGAGCTTTCAATATCGTGGATGGGGCTGATACTGCCCTTATGGCAACCAGCATGGGGCTAGGGGCGGCAGGTGTTGGGTTGTTAGCTACCATCGTGGCTACACCCGTAGTGCTAGGTATCGAAATAACAGCTGGGGTGGCAGGGGTGTTAGGGTTGGTGCTTAAGTTTGCATCCCGCAGACTGCATCGTAAGGCATTGAAACACGACGAGATCAGGGTTCTGGCCGAAGCAAAGCTGAACACGGTAAGCGACCGTATTTCAGCGGCACTCACTGACAACAAGATCTCAGAGGAGGAGTTTCGTTTGATCCTCTCTGAACTCACAAAATATAACAAAATGAAACAAGAGATTCGATCCAAGTCTCGTAAGTCTGCTATCAGCGAGGACGAGAAAAAAAAGTACATAGAACAGGGAGTACGAAAAGCCCAGCAAGCCTTTATTACAAACACCAAAGAGGTCATAGGCGATTCACATTAAACTGTTTCATCGAGGTCAACACGTCATAGCGGTACAGTAGTGCCACGTGTGGCCGGGAAGTTAACTGGGGACTCAAAAGTAGTAGATATACTGAGGCGGGATCTAAGGGCCTGACAAAAGCTTTATTTGTGAAATAAGGCTTTGCAGAGGCTTTTGTTGGACTTGATCCCGTACCGCTATTGTATCTACTACTATACCACTTTCTGTTAGTATGCCCTCACTACCACACAAGTAGGATGCAGCTTATTCTCGGGTATTATCATATATATCCATCTGTATTTAAGTTTAAGCAGTTGTTACGCACAAAACATATGAATGTTATTAAAAGCCTAGCAATCTATCTGAAGAGAAACCTACCAGTCTGACTGCTATATATTGAAGCATTATATTTATGTATATGTATTGTATAAACTTTCTCCCATAATGCAGTGGCCAAATGTAATACCGACATGGCTGGGCTTAAGAAAGGAAGGAGTTTGTCATTAATTAGTCAGAGAGGTAAATATCAGGTGCTTCTTGACAATTTCCGTTACCAGAAGAATGTCACTATCAGTCGATTGGAAGGTGTAATTAAGACATGCACGACTGTTGGAGATTAGCTGAGGAATAACCGCCTACGTGGTGTAGTGGTTAGAGCGTCTGCCCGGAGCGCGGAAGGTCGCGGGTTCGATCCCCGACCGCGTCATACCAAAAGACGTTAAAATATGGTACTTGTTGGTCCCTGCCTGGCGCTCGGCATTAATGGGTACAACAAGGACTGGTCGGCTCGGAGTCAGTATAATGTGTCTGAATGGGGTATTCATGCTTCACTGCGGCATGGTGTCTCAGTGGGCTAGCACTATAAAACCAGCTTAAGTCTGGGCTAGTACAAGCAGCCGCACATACACACGCATGCACGTCGTCATATGAGCGAAATATTCTCAAGCACGACGTAAAATCCAATTTCACCTCACCTCACCTGAGGAATACCTCTCAGTCGTTGCTCGTGAGACGTAGTGGTCAATGAATACACATTTAGTTCTTGTGGCGTTTCTTTGGATCCTGTCTTCATGACAATCATTCAGGCTGCATTTAGCAACACTGACTCACTATGACAATCATGAATGGAAACAAACACTAAGTATGACAATAATTGCATATATAATTGCAAGTCTAACAATCGTGACTGGAATCTAATAGCAAATATGGTAATCTGGAATGGAAACTAATTAATAGCAATGTACATGTTACCGTCACATGTGAAACCAAAATTGCACAGTGATTTCAAGTACATATTTATCTTCAATATATACTCATGCCAATAATGGTTGTCACCCCCACCCCAACCCCCACACACCTCAGACCCCCACCCCACACACCTCTCCTATTAAAAGATTGAAGGGGGTGACAACCATTATTGGCATTAGTATTTTAGTCTAATTGTAACTCATTATTCTGATCAATAATGGCAATATTTGCTATTGTACTCAAGTCACACTTGATTTACTCGCGGCTTAATTCTAATCATGATTCACTGTCGCTATCATAGACCATGTCTAGCAACGTAAACAGTCTTGTAGTCTATGACAGGAAGGCAGCGCCTAGTGCTACTGCAAAGTCCCATATTTGGGGCCATCCGTATTTGGTATGCCACTAAACAACAAAGTAAACACATAGACTATCGTATTGCAGAATGTGACCTCCACATCACGTCGGGCCAGGGCGAAGGTCGTCAGAATTATGTGGAGATTTGCAAACCTAATGATCAAGACATGGTCAAGACATGCAGGAAAGTGATGACTGCTTGCTACTGTGCAAATACATGGAAAGTGAGGTAAAAGAATGTAAAAAATACTTTTGTTGTAACGAGTTTGTGTGTTCTGTAATTATATGTAGCGATATCTCCATGACATGAAATTTTGTAAGTCGAATAGTGGACTGGTGCGACTGGTATTCTTCTGCTGAAACAAAGTATATAATTACGTTTACCAAATATGACCAAATCGAAGAACCAAAGTGTAAATGAAGCTATATACATTTTATTTCAACAACACAAATATGTGTATAATTTTTCTTTATATTCTCGGAATAAAAGGCGTGTACAATGTATATAAAGAATGGACACATCCGATTTCTTTTGTTTTTTTTACACATAGATACAACATTCGCTCACAGAACCATACCATAATAGTACAAAAATAAATTAATTCATATTGTCAATGTTCGCTACTGAAAAGAATTTTCATATTGTTTCCATTTGCTATGGCATTCCTGAAACCTTGCTTTGCTATATAATCTAACTTTTTCTACCTTGCGATAATAGTTCAATTCTGTTTGAAATAAGGATAAATGTGGTATTCGATTTGTAAGTTTACATTTATAGATATGAAATTCATCTGATAAAATTATCAAGTCAAAAATAGCATCACTGTGGAAGGATTCCGAAACAACAAATAACACAATGGAATATAATGTTGATAGCATTTGAACATTTCACCATAATCCACTGAGAGAGATTCTTAAAAAAAAAATTCACTTTCTCTACATCCCCCAAAATGATGTATGTATTGACTGGTATAATTCTGTGTGGTAGCCTGTATTGCATCCATCTTAACTTTGGATCAGATGTAGTTTTAAATGCTTTGATAAATATGTTTGACCAGTTCTGTCTTACTAATATTTCCTCTTCCTATTTTTCAATTATCTTTAAATTTTCTTCAGTCTGTGTCATAACATAGTAATATTGTTTCGAACCACTTTTACAAGAAAGGAATTGAGTAATACATACATTATGTGATCTATCTCCTTCTATAAAGTTACCTTTGTCAAGTTTCAATCTCTTTGAATAAATATTGATACATCGTAATAATCCTTGATAAAGCAATGCATTAATATTGAAAAAATATCACAAAACTGTTGAAGAGACATAAAATCTCCATCGGCATTCAACAGCAGCCAATATTAGGAATATCCTTTTCACAAAACGTTTTGCTAAACAAGATTTTTTGTGAGGATTTTTTTATTTGTATCATACAGGAGAGGGTCTCGTAAGAACACTTCATACGCAGCTGGTCTATGGCTACTGCTTTATTAAGCAAAAGTTGCCACGCCATCTTTCCAAAACATATTAGGAGTATCATTTGCTAACACCAGTGGATAATGATTTCCAAAACGTGTCAAATTGTAATAATTTGGAACAGTAGTAAGTAGCAGGTGATTCCACTTTTTGACATAATCAGCATTTATTAATTTCCGTACCCATGTCAACTTCAGTGCATCAACGTAAGCATATATACAGTATATATTAATCTTTCATAATCCTCCTTCCGCAGCAGGTTTACAAGCAACATTTCCTTTAATTCTATCTGGCTTGTTGTCCAAAGGAAACTAAACAGAATGCTATTTAGCTTTTTAAGGACGTTTAGGAAGAGTAAGAAAAAGGACATTTAACTCTGAAATTAGTAATGACTTAGCTATTTTCCCTAATGGAGTAATAGTTCGTTTCATCCATTGTTTAATTATTTGTTCAATATCATATGATTTACTTGCATAATTAATTTTTATCATCTTATCATAGTCAACTGAGAGTATAATACCTAGAATTCGAAACGTTTCAGTGTTCCAATTAAGGGGCAGGTCAACAACAACAACAACACAAATATAGTCAGTATGTATGATCATGACAAAAATTGATCTAAATCTCTTGACCATCAGATGTGATAACAAGGACATCTGGATTGGCAGTCTTACATTGGACAATGGATGTCAGACTCTGTCCGGAGCGACTGCCGATACTTCTATCGAAAATTTAATACAGATGGGCACTGCATCAGCTGACAATGATGACGATTTGAAATGTGTCAGGCATCAACTGCCCAACTGTGCAGCATATGTATGTGCAAGGAAGGAAGGTAAGAACTAGACAATTAAGCACAAACGTTTCTCATGTTGGACATACCTTTGCAGCCATCATTAATTACATCGCCATCTATGCTTTGATAGTCTTTGTCTCCATATAGTAATCAGTATGTGGAAGAGGAATTGGCTAAAAATGGTACATTTTCATAATTATTCTGTTATGAATTTGTTGTCACTATATGATGCTGTTTATGAAGATTAGACGGTCACTATCAGTTGACAGTTGTCAAGGTATGCAGCAAAACGATATTTTGTCACGACTTTCCTGTCTAGGAATAGTCTGTCTCCGATAAAATTCCAATTTTGTGAGCAACCGTTACGATCCACGCCATTAACAAGAAAGCGTCTGATCATCCGTATCGCTCCTCTCAAAAAGCTTGGGTTGTTCGATTCTGAGTCGAAATCACCATGAGGTTGTCTCCTGGAATAATGAGAAACAACACTTCCATACCACTACAGTCCGTTTGAGTCAGAAACGGACCGATGAATTGCAAATTTGATCATTGTACAAAATTGCCACATAAATATAAATAATACTAATACCCAACAGCATTCTTATATTTGAAAATTTTCCGGACTCCACCAAAAAAGTTGTTTAAGAAACTATCATCATTGAATACGCAAAAGTTGTTATCTGTCGCGGCGGGGTGAAACCGCAGAAACGGAACAGCCAGTCATGGCAGGGGACATCTCAAAATCTATTCCGGGAGATCTGTCGGTTCCTCGTCTGTCGTAGTGTCATAGTCACGACTGAAAGGGATGACAAGTGGTGCCACAGTTGCCTGATGTAAGCCATCGCGAGATCAGTAACCTTGTTCAATGACGTTAGCTACCTTGTTGACACAGTTTTGCGAAGTTTCAGGCGTGATTTTGTTAAGGAATTCCTTATCCAAAACCTCTACGTCACGTAATCTTAAAGTTGTGATTGACAATACCCCATATCATTTCAATGGGGTTAAGGTCACAGTGATAGGATGGAAGTCGCAGAATATCGTTACCCTTACCTTTTATGTAACTGTCAACTTTGTAGAAGGGTTCACTTTTGTGGGTTTTTATGATCTCATATAGCTGAGGCTTCGTTGCCTTTGAAGGCCGTGCGATCTGAAATTTGTCGAGCCATGAAATCATATCACCTTTTCGACTGTTCGATGTCGGGGCTTTACTGTCGGGGTCTTGCACGCTGTGGTATGGGGCATTGTCCATTACCATAAAAGACTTCTCTGGTAGAGTTGGTACCAACTTGTTTTTAACCCAATCGATGAAAACACACTCCTGCAACTATGGAATTTCGATATTGGTTTATTGCTAGTGACAAATTCACAATTGTATACTTCAGCACGGACGTATTATTTCTTTGACAATTACATTTTATTAAATTGAAAATGGTCACGAACTGCAATCGAACTGTATTGTACACAGAGATACTGATGTATACGCTTGTTCTGAACGTCTGTAGGTGAAAGTGAACAAATAACACAAGATGTCAAGCACTGCTTTGTTGCATTGTTGTTACAGGTGACTGGAACCTGCAATCTTGGCACATTTGTACCGATGGAGATACTTCTGGTGAGCAATCTATGTTATATGTAATTGTTTTTTCGTGTGTATGTTGGGAAACGCCGTACTCAGAAAACAGCTGTATGACAGCATCCTGTAAATCAAATGTTTACCACATTATATAGTGGTCGATATAATGAGCAACAAGACGTTCGGTTACGGTAACGCGCTATCGAGCAAATCAGTCACGAAACCTGACGCCGTATCCCTCTGCTCACCTCTGATGACCAGCAACATGGGGCAGGGATATTGTATGGTATCAACAGGGGAGGGACTGATTTGTTAGGAGCTGCTTTAGATGCAGCATCAGCTCTTGTATTGCCGAATATGCCGACTTGGCTCGGAACCAACAAAAAAAGATGTTGAATTGGCCAGTAGAAAGATCACTGCATAATTGAAAAAATATATTTTCTAGGGAATCAGAAAAGATGATAAATTGTATACTAATTGATTGCTGCTTAATGAACTCTAAGGCTGTCAGAATAATGTTTGCTTCAGCAGCGATGATAGGGCTAGTTTCTGGTATCCTGAAAGATATTATTTTGGATCCAATGTCAGTGACACATGAAACATTGCCAGCATCCTTGGGCCCATCCGTAAATACAGAACGATGATATCCATAGTTCTTGTTGATATTCCTGTTTAAAAAAACCAGCTTATTTGTGTCTGATTTAGAGTATGGTCTACGTTTGACCTGAGTAACTGCGAAGGAGGAGTAGGATAAAGTTATAATTTAGAGATAATATCAATATCAATGTTGGCAGGTGTAATGTGTGGTTTGAACCGAATACCAAGTGGTGGAACTAGTTTAGTATTTTTCTATACTGTGGGTGAAACACTGACTCATAAGCTGGGTTGGACGGATTGGAATGCAATTTAACAATATACTGAGGGATAATTTAACACGACGTATAGTCTGTTTGCAGTGAAAACGTACCGATGAATTTCACTTTAACAAAAACGTAAATCACATAAAGTGCAATTAAGATTGCGAATCCTCATGATTTTACTTTGCCAACTGAATCTTAAATCTCAGAATTTTATTCAACTTATGATAAAAGTTGTTTAACAAACGATCATAGTTTCAAATCGCTATTGTTGGTTTGTATTACAAGGGGGTACGCGCAGTAGTTGGAATAGTGACACAAATGCACGTGCGTTCCGTGATGAGCGTTAACTTAGACTACCGTAGAAACCAGCCCTTCTTGTTCTCGTGGTTTCATTTAATGTGCACACCTTATTCTATTGAGTCTAACCCTGCATTTAACTGTGTTTTTAATCCTCTTTATGAGGATTTTTACAACAAAAAGCCTTCTCTTGTTCCACCTCTTGGTTTAAGAATTAAACCATTCATTTCTGCTGCCGGCATTGAGCTGGAAAATATATTTCCTTCCCGTCTTCTTTCTTCTCCTCCTTGGCAATTGGTTAGGCCCCAAGTTAACTTAACATTGACCACATTTAAAAAATTCGAAACTTATGAATTACAATATATACAAGAATTTAGTCAATTAAGAAATAAATATAATACATATAAATCCTTATTTACAGATGGGTCCAAGGATGGTGGAGCGGTAGCAAGTGCCACTGTCATAGGATCCTAAACATTATCTTCTCGATTGCCCAATAACAGCTCTATTTTCACAGCAGAAGCTAATGCCATATTAACAGCTCTTAAATATATTAATAAACACCGTAAATATAAACAATACATAATCTTTTTTTTCGATTCTCTTTCGTGACTTCAGGCTATCAAAAATCTCTCTTGTAAACATCCACTTTTAATTGAAATTATTGAATTGTATAATGAGCTTGCTACTGGCCAATGCGACATCGTCTTTTGTTGGTTACTCAGCCGTGTTGGCATTTCTGGGAACACAATGGCCGATCTTGCTGCCAAGGCAGCACTCAACAAATCTGTGACACCACTTCTTATCCCATACTCTGATTACAAGGCTAGCTTTAGAACCTACATCCGTGATCTGATGCAGAAGAAGTGGGACACCCAAGTAGGTATCAATAAATTACATGAAATAAAACCTTATATTGGTTACACCTACTTGGGTTGTCAATCCAGATTTGAAGAGGTTATTATGCGACGATGTTGCATTGGCCACACTAGATATACTCACGAATATTTACTGAAAGGCGAAGATCCTCCGTTTTGCATCCCTTGTGATGAAAGAATCACAGTCAAGCATGTCCTGCTTGACTGTGTTGAATATTCCATCACAAGGGATAAGTATTTCAATGTCAAAACATTGAAGGATCTTTTTTATAATGTTAATTATCATTTAATAGTTGAATTTTTAAAAGAATTAGATTTGTTGACTGATTTGTAAATAGCTAAATATTTTATTATTGGTAGTTTAGATTAGTAACTGAGATTGTTAGTGGCTGTACCCTCAAAGGGGGTTGAAGTATTGTGAAATTATTGTCCTCCTGAGAGGGTCCCGAAACATTCAAAGGAAATATAAATTTACCAGCCTTTTAAATGTAGTATTTTTTTCATTTAATTTTGGCTAGGTTTGACTACAATCACCAATGGCTGAAGAGTTGATATAAATCCAGCTAGGGTCCATGCAGGTAGCAAAGGCACTGTAAGTCCCCATGGTCCCTAGTATGGTGATCTACCTTCAGTTGTTGGCGATCTATAGCCTGCTTTTATATTGTGTTGTCCAAATAGTGCTCTTACTTAAATATTAACTCACTCACTCACTCCAAAAGAAACGCCACCAAAATAAAAATTATCATAAATTGTCAAAATAATTGCCAATCTGCTAAAAAACGGCTGAAAACACATCCCTCGAATACAACCTGTCTATCCCCAGTGAACAAGTGCACGAGATTTTGATGATTGGTGAGTTAAATGAATTCGCACAGAAAAAATGGAAATTGTGCACAAAGTTAACCGTATGACATGAGGGTATAAAACCTGACTAGATTTGTTCTCTCTCATCATGTGACACGATTGCAGCCAACGAAAGCAGCCAACATGCCTCGTTTGACCAAAGAACAGAGGGAAAGAGCAATTGGTATGCTTCAGATGGGCGCAACACAGGAGCACGTGGCCAGGATCATGGGATGCTGCAGGTCCACCATCGCCAGACTTGGCACACGTCACAGACAGACTGCTGGCAGTACTGCTGACAGACCCAGGAGTGGCAGACCCAAGGTCACGACCCCACAGGAAGATCGATATTTACGTGTGCTTCATCTGAGATACTGCTTCCTCACTGTGACGTCAATAGCCTTGGACATGCAGTCAGCAGACAGACCGTGGCAAGACGACTCCGTCAGCATGGTATTCGTGACTATCGACCTTTCAAGGGCATGACGTAATCGCTCCGACACCGACGTGTCAAATTGAGGTGGGCCAGGACCGTAATTTAGTGGCAGCAGCGAAACTGGCGAAGAGTGCTCTTCAGTGACGAGAGCAGGTTCCAGCTCTTCAAATCTGATGGTCGTGTTCGAATCTACCGACGTCGGGGCGAACGGACGGCACCTGCTTGCATCCAAGAAGTGGAGCATTACGGCGGTGGAAGCGTTATGGTCTGGGGCGAAATTTGTGGGGACCAGAAGACAGATCTCGTCATCATCAACGGTAATCTCACCGCACGCTGTTACATCGACGAGATTTTACGGCCTGTGGTGCCGCCCGACCTGCATCGTCACCCAAGGACTCTGTTTCAACAGGACAACACCACACCTCACACAGCTCGGATCACTAGTGACTTCCTCAACACTAACAACATCAACGTTAACCTGCTACAGTGGCCAGCGAGATCACCCGATCTGTCTCCAATCGAACACCTCTGGGACCAACTGGGGCAACGTATTCGTAAATGTCAACAGTCGCCATTGACTTGGGACGCTTTGGCAGTTGCCCTGCAAGAGGAATGGCGCCGAATCCCTAATGATGACGTCAGAAGGCTCACATACTCAGTTCGACGCCGCGTTAGAGCGTGCATAAGTGCTAGGGGTGGCCACACACGATACTGAATCATCTGTGTTGTTCAGGACAGTTAAATACCTTAAAGACGAATAAGCGCTGGCGATCGAATACTGGACACTTCACCCCTGTGTCGTCCATGTGCCTTCAGAACACGAACTGTTTCGTTTTTCTAACTGAAAAGTTTCAAGAACTGTTGCTGAATGGTTGTGTTTTATAATACAACACTTCTTGTTACCATACTTTGCTTTTGATGTGTTTTAGTAAAGAAAACTGTTTGGTGGCGTTTCTGTTGGACGCTAGTTTACTTTCATCACTCATTCCATTCATGATTTTCATTCAGAAGGTTTCACACCTTCTGAGAGCATATAAAACGAGAACACATCGTTGAAATGAAATACAATCTATTTACAGTGTGGTTACAAGCATAGGTTTACAAACCTTTAATAACTCAAGTTTATGTACATAAAAACGAAAATAAAACAATCTAAATATGTAAACAAATACGTCTACTAGGTCAATCGTGAGTGTCAACAAATATGGCGGCGCCCGTAAAAGTAACTGATTTGGTCAAAATTGACGGACAACTGGTTGGAAGAGTTGTAAATATTATCAGGACTTTGAATACCTTCAGCATGTATGTTGTCAGGACTGCACAGGGAGTTTCTAACACAGAACATCAAAAGATGAACGACGCTTTTGTATCTCGATCACTGCCACTGTCAGCCGCGTACACAATGTCTTGTCCTCCGGCACAAAACACGTGTTCTACTGCCACTGTCATGCCTACCGTGGTTTCTCATGTATGGGTTAAAACACTTCTCAGAGTCAGAACACAATAGCTTGAAATCCTCTTCATTCGAGGTTGTAGGCAGTGTGTTTTCAGGCCCTATTTACGGTGGAGCCTTCAACGTAAACATCGAATCTCGACAGGTTGGAGTTCCAAGCCGAGATGTGCAGGCGTCACTGGCGTCCTCCGCCAAGCGTTGCCGTAATTTTTACAGTGACTCGTCCTCCGATGAAGAACTTTAACCACAACTATTTGAGACATACAGTTCCCTGTTATTCACATTCGGCTTCTGTTGTGTGTGCCGCTCATTGCTTCCTTTATCTGCTTGTTTGTGAACATAACAACTATAGCCCAACAGTGATGGCCGACTGACGTTCACGTAGTCACGTAGTTAAGTTCAAAATGTTTACACTTTACAAGTGTTTTGATGAATTACATTATTGCCTTTGAAACCAAATCCCTAATTTAAAGACTAAAAGTTTGATTTCGACTTGATTCTGTTTAAGGTCACATGCAACGTAAAACACAACTTTGCAGATTCTGATACCTTTCGGTATGGACTTACCGAAACAAATCGTCAAAAATGCAAATTCAACTTATAAAGTTGAAAAATAACGCGATGAAAAAAACCGCGCGAAATCGGAGTTCAAACGTTTCACTAATTTTCCCCAGACTTTTCTGGGGAAAACGGGTTTCAACAGCTGGGCTGCGCTCATAGCACGTACGCAGTGAAATAGGTTCGCGCAACTTGGAAGCGGGTTGTCCGGTGAATACTCGGTGAAGGCTTTGGTGTGAGCTATTTTCTAATGTTTTGTTGATATCTCACAGGCGCGAGGTTTTTATATGTTGTGACAGTAAATTAACTGTTTATATAATTTCACCACACGTTCCTCTTACCGAGTCACTTTCTCAGTTCGATACTTAAAAGCAATGTCATTATCTAGCGTTGTACAGAATTTCTAACTGTGATATAGATATGTCGTTGTCACAGACAAAACTCAATGTCTTGTTTTATTGACATCTGTGTGTCTGCCTGCCTGTCTGCTAATGACAATATTCAATACACATCTGCTATCACTGACCACATGCAATTTGAACTTAACACCAATCAGGCTATACACCATAAACAAAATGCATTGATTTATGGCCCGAGTTCGGTCTCTGTCACATTATGTAATTACACAGACAGGCAGGTGTGATAGTTGAACACATGACATGTTATGATGTCTGTTGATTGCAAAATGTTATACACAAAAAATGAGCATGTATTTACAAAACCCAACATCTCTACATATACACACACAATAAGCCGTGAGGGCATATGCAAATGAACCAGCCGTTACACTTGAGTGCACACCCACCCGCTCTGACTGGGTTCGGTATCCCGGCTGCTTCGTTTCTTGGGAAGTAAACCGAAGTTCACAATATTGCACTTTTGATTTGCGATTGTACGCTTATAATTTTGTTTATATGTTTTTTCATAACCAGCAATGTATATCATATGTCACGAATAAGTGATAATTGTGTTTTAATTATGTTTGATTTTTTGGTTGCATGTGACCTTTAAAGGAACTACATTGCCTCTATACAGCATACATTTTCCTGGAGTGAAGCGGTTGACATTCCAATCACCAATATGATGTATTAAACCGCACTGTGCGGTTCTATATAGGAAAACAAAATATTGCTTTATTTTAACGATATTTTCATTGTTTAGAACGTGGGTAATAAATAGGATACAAAACTCGTTCCCCTTTCATATCAAGTTTATGTCCCTCATGAAATAATTTTGTTTTGTCACTCGCTAAAGCTCGTGACAAAGCAGAATTATTTCAACCTTCGCTAAAGCTCGTGACAAAGCAACATTATTTCACTCGGGACATAAACTTGATATGAAAGGGAAAGCTCGTTTGATATTATAAATTGGTAATAGATTCCTCGAGGACTTTGCCCTTAGATTTTGTGTATGTGCCTCCCTAGAGTGGGTTGTGGCCATTTAAATCACTCATGATGGTTTAGTTAATTTGCTATACAATGTCAGAACATCCGACTGCTGGAGACTGAAAGAAGGCAAAACATACAAAGAGAGAGCACAATGTAAACTCCAGGTATAATGCAAGTCGGACGGTAACAGCCTGCAGGTTACTGTTCAATTGTACATAGCTGTGGATCACTCCCTCCCTCATTAAAACAGAAGAACCCCCTCTGCCCCTAAACACAATAAGGTCAATAATGTGTCCAAAAGCCAAGCCAAACAGTGATAGAGCAATGAAAATAGAGTGGGTTTTTTTTGGTTTAACACTGCACTCAGCAATATTCCAGCTGCACGATCTGTAAGTAATCGAGTCTGGGCCAGACAATCCAGTGATAAGCAGCATGAGCATCGATCTACGCAATTGTGAAACGATGACATGTGTCAACCAAGTCAGCGAGTCTGACCATCCGATCCCGTTAGTCGCCTCTTACGACAAGCATGGGTTGCTGAAGACCAATTCTAACCCGGATTTCCACGGGTAAGTAGTGTATTGGGCAAAGGAATGCTATCACTGGAACCAGTGCCCTCACTCACCAAATCCCGTGCTCCAGCGACACCGACTTAATACTGACATTGAATTCTATGTACAACATTTACCTGATTAACATAAAATTGTTTTAACATTGTTTAGATTATCATGTCATCGATTACCGATTGAGACTGGTAGATGGCACAAAACCGATATTTTTGATAGAAAATGTACCCTATGTGTTTCAAATGATATTGGAGATGAATACCACTACTTGTTTAATTGTAATTATTTCAAAGATCTGAGGAAGAAACTACTTCAAACACTGAGCATCAAGAGACCATCTGTATTTAAAATGATAAATTTATTTCAAAGTAAAAATGTCTCGGACTTGATTAAACTGTCAACCTTTTGTCGCTCTATATTATGCAATTTAAATAGACTTTATGTCGCCATTACTTACTTTGCATGACCTCCGTAAACCCTCATTATGCTATGTATGTAGCCTTGAGAGAAATAAAGTTCAGTTCAAAGACACCACGGCAAACAAGTTAATCAATTTAGTAACCTCTAACGACCAGCAATCGGGCGTTGAGGACCTATTCTACGCCGGGTCCACTCGGGGGAAGAGTGAGTGAGTATGGTTTACGCCGCTTTTAGCAATATTCCAGCCATATCACGGCGGGTGACAACAGAAATGGGTTGCACACATTGTGCCCATGTGGGGAATCGAACCCGGGTCTTCGGCGTGTCGAGCGAAAGCTTTAACCACTAGGCTACACCATCGCCCACTCGGGTGAAGAACTACTAGCGTTACCCAGCACTCACCACGAGGAGGTTGCTCTTTAAGAGTCCCCACAAAGCCGGAATATTGCTGAGCGCGGCTTTAAACGAAAACAAATCCACCCAGACCTGGTCACTCGGTTGACAATTTTCGCAACTTAACTTCATTGATCATTGTTCACTAGATTGTCAGACCTGTTCTAGAATATTAAAGCGCCGCCCTAGAACTGGTATAATAATTGGTGATGCTTTTATCAACCATCTGGGAAATCAAACCGGGTGTGACGCTACCCCATCGCCCGTTGTTTGACTCATTGTTTACAAATGAGTTCAACAATATACATTTGAGGATCGATTGTGTCTGCTTATCGGTTCATTCTGGTAACAAATACAAAAAAATACCCGTCAGGGGGTATGCAGCTCGCACATCGAAATCTGGTATGATAATTGGTGATGCTTTTATCAAGAGACACACACTCCTACAACTATGGAATTTCGATATTGGTTTGTTGCTAGTGACAAATTCACAATTGTATACTTCAGCACGGACGTATTATTTCTTTGACAATTACATTTTATTAAATTGAAAATGGTCTCGAACTGCAATCGAACTGTATTGTACACAGAGATACTGATGTATACGCTTGTTCTGAACGTCTGTAGGGAAAAGTGAACAAATAACACAAGATGTCAAACACTGCTTTGTTGCATTGTTGTTACAGGTGGCCCGCCAGATAAGCGTATTTGGATCCGTGACGACTACTGTGGTGAGTAATCTGTTATATGTGATTGTTTTTTCGTGTGTATTTTGGTTAACGCCGTACTCAGAACTCCGTTGTATGACAGCATCCTGTAAATCAAATGTTGACCACATTATATAGTGGTCGATATAATGAGCAACAAGACATTGGGTTGCAGTTAAACGCAAAAAAGCCAGTTAGTCACTAAGCCTGATGCCGTCCATTTGGTCACCTCTGACGACCGGCAATATGGTGCTGTGGATACACTCAATCAAGGGTGATTGGAATGTAATGACGGATTGCAGTAATCTGCAATATAGTACTACACAAAGCGCGGTTACCCCACAGAAACGTATTTCTTGGCAAATTTACGATTTGTGCGAGGAAAATATATTTCTATTTGATACCACGTGTTGCCTTAATCAGCAAACACACACTCGTCCCACTGATGAATTTGGAGATTGGATTATTCCAAATGACAAATTCACAATGGTATACTTCAGCACCAACGTACACTCTTAAAAAAACGCATAGGCCAAAAAATAAGGAAAATGTATTAAACGTATTTAAGTGTACATTAGTCGATAAAACTTGAACATAAATCAAGCAATTCGACACACGGGTGAACATATGTATTGTTGTCATTGTCAGCATTAATTCAGTTCACTCACTGTACGTGTGTGGACACAAGGGGGCGTTCAGAATACCTGGTGACAGCAGTCGCTGCTCGACACCGCCTTGGAATGGATTGCACAAGTCGTCGGGTTTGGGCTTGGGGAATTCTTCGCCATTCCTTCGCCTTCTGCAAGTGTCTGAGGGCGATGCTGACGCTACGGACGCGTCGATCAAGTTCGTCCAATAGATGTGATTGGGTTCAGATCAGGCGATTTGGAAGGCCAGGGGATGACATTGACGTTTTCACTGGCGAGATAGGCACCTATTACAAGATCCATGTTGGGTCGAGCTTTGTCGTGTTGAAACAGCTCCCTCTAGCGGTTAAGAAAGTGGGAGGGGGTGAGGTCGCAGGATTTGGTCGATGTAGCGATTTGCTGTAAGATTGCCTTGAGCCACCACCAGCTCTAATCTATCCGTGTAGGACATGGCTCCCCACGCCATGACGCTTTCTCTACCAAATCTTTCTACCTGTCGAAAGCAGTTCAGTGCAAAACGTTCGTGTTGCCGTCGATAGACACGTTGTCGTCCTTCCCGTCGTTGCAGGAGGAAACGCGATTCGTCGCTGAACCAAACTCGTTCCATGCCTTCCCCAGGTTCCATGTCTGTACCCTGTTGCATCATTGGACACGTCGTTGTCGGTGTAGTCGTGTCAGGACAGGTCCAACTTTTGGTCGATATGCTCGATTTCCCACTTCTCTCAAACGATTTCTGAAGGTTTTGTCGGAAATGTTTCGAGGACCAGGCACCTGTCCTGCAGTGTCCGTTTCTGTAACAAATCGGTGACGTAGATTTCGTAATGAAATGATGCATTTGGTTTGGCCTTTTATAGTCAATGTCTCTACTCATGTGTCCGACACATTGCACGTGCATTACGCTTAAAACCTTTTCTGTATGCTCTTTTCATGTATTGGTTTCATTTATTATGACAAACGCTTAAAAGCACATTTTGGGATGCGTATGTGCCTAATGCACAACCATGACATGATTAACGTGATTCAAACATAGGATTTTTCTTAATGAAATATATGGAAATGATATGGAAAGGAACTGCTGAAAACGCCTGAGCGTTACTTTTTTAAAAGTGTGCATTATTTCTCTGACGAATGCATTTTGTTAAATTGAAAATAGTCTCGCACTGCAATCGTACTGTATTGCGCATATAGACACTCAAACATCCGCTTTTTCTTAACTGTTGTAGATAAAGTGAACAAATAACACAACAAGATGTCAATTATTGCTATGACATTTTTCTTACAGATGCCACGTCACATGGGTGTATTTGGATCCATAAAAAACATTGTTGTAAGTAATCCATGTGATATGACATTGTCGTTGTGTATGTTCTTTTACGCCGAACACAGCAATGTTGCAGCTACATGACGGCAGCCTGTAAATCAAAGACGTTTGGTTACGGTAACATGCAAACATGGGTTACGGTAACATGCAAACAATCCAGCTGGTAACTAAGCCTGACACCAGGTGTGCGGTAAAAAGTCCTGGGAAAAAAGTCCCAAATATGCCTAGGAAAATAAGTCTTCCGATAAAAAAGTCCTATTTTGTAAAAGGAATTTTTGACAAAAGAATAAAAAGTATTTTTTTCATTGTTTTTCATAGTTTTTCATAGCGTTTATTGGCTTTCATGTATTAATGTAAAATAGACAGATCCTGTACACATTACAGAGGTTTTCAGCTTTATTCCTTCTACAGAATACCGATGAATATTAATGTCTACTGACTCGTATTCATTCTAATGTTTACTGCCACGCCACGCCATACAGCATAGGTCTGGAATGTCATTCCAGACACGTGGTGGAAACATAGGGGGCACCTTTCTGCCCGTTATAGTCTCAAAATGCAAGTACTTCATATTTCTGAACCAAACTCGTTCTGATGCCCAGCAGCATGGGGCTGGGGATACACTCAGTCAAGGGCCCCTGGAATGTGATGACAGATTGTTCTGGGTAACCTGCAATGAAATACTACACAAAGCGTCGTTACTCCACAGAGATGTATTTCTTAGCACATTTACGAGTTGTCAGAAAAGAATCTATTTGGTAACAACTGTTATCGAAGTCATCAAACAATTTTGATCACAGTAATAGCAACAGGCATCACTTTACAGCGCAATGGAAACGCCAGTTCTGTGAGAACGTGTCCTTGCAGTAAGTCATGATCAGTATCATCATCAACTACTAAGAATGCATCTGCATCTATTCCAGCACAACCTGCCCCAACATCTTGTGTGACATCTGCCCAAACATCGTCCGGAGTGACAACTGCCCAAACAACATCTGGTGAGACACCTGCCCAAACAACATCCGCTGTGACATCTGCCCCAACATCGTCACCTGCCCAAACATCGTCCGGTGTGACAACTGCCCAAACAACATCGTGACCGGAGTGACAACTGCCCAAACACCATCCGTGTGAGACACCTGACAACCAACACCATCCGGTGTGACATCTGCCCAAACACTGCCCAAACACCATCCGGTGTGACATCTGCCCAAACAACATCTGGTGGGACACCTGTTCAAACAACATCTGCTGAAAGATCAGACACAACATCATCATCCTCTAACGGACAAACTACAGATGTACAAATCGTGGAAAACATATGTAAGTACAAAAGTCCCAGAATCCCACAGAACAGAAAATAATATGAATTTACTCATTTCATTTTAACATCTGGTACGAGGGATATCATCCTCGATAATGTTCAGGGTATACTTTCCGATAAATCTCCACTATACTAGGATGCATCTACGGCTCAGCCCGATAATTTTATTATCTCTCTTTGTTGTCTTTTTATCTAATCAGGTGTCTACGTTGGGAAGTTGAGCGTACCAATCACAAGGCTTCTATCAGAACTCACTTTCGTTCTTTTTACCTAACCGATTAAACTTGGCAACACATTTTTGCAGAGGTACTTTTGAAAGAGGTAGAACGAGTTCTTGCATAATTGTATTTTTTAAGGTTTTAGACCCGTCAATTTGTCTGTATCAGTTTTCCCTAAATCTGAGTCGCACAGCGAACAAACCTTCGCGGCTTCAACGGTTCTCTTTGTTGACGCTGGCAAGTTCGGTTGTAACGTCTTATCTAATTGGCTACTGTGAGAAGGCGGACCTGCAAAGTGAGGTAATAAAATTATCGGACAGAGCCGTAGATGCATCCAGGGGGGGAGCCCGATCGAAACGTCTACCCGGGAGATTAGCGAGGATGGAGGGATATATGTTGTTGAATAAACTCTATATTTAGAATTGTATTTGTTCTTTGGATTATTCTGGGTAGCAATGAGGCGACAATGCATGTTTGATCTACATGAGAAAACGGATGCAATCCAAATACATTTTTTGAATGCCTCAGAAAAACCTCAACCAACCTTCACAAAACAGTTTTAACACCGAGAAAGTTTCCTACGTTTTGGTAAAACATATACAATATGTGTTATACCTGTGAAACAGAAAGTCAGATGTCCTTATCTTTTATTATTATTTTTTTTAAATCTAAACCATACCCTACAAATAACCGTGACATGTGGGAAGGTCACTCTCTTTCGTCAGATGGCTGACCTTGGGCTTGGATGACGTATAACGTGTCTGTGACGTGCATTCATTTTCAATGTTATAACAGGCCCAGACTGTGAACAGAAAAGCGGAATATGTGTTTGGGTTCCATCTGACGGTCCTCCTGTGGAAGAAGTGAATAAGCTTATCAAGTCACTTCTTTTGGAGAAGAAGACACTCTCGAGCTACAAACATACGAAGACATCGGCTAAAGACGATCGGCCATCTGCCAAAGCAATCGGACAGACTGGAGTCGTCCTCTGTGTCCTCGGGTTTGTCGGAGTGGTTCTTCTTGACGCTGGTAGACTCGTCAACTGGCTTGAGATGCGACGGAGAAGACGACTGTCCTTCCGCCCATGAGAGCGATTCTCTTCAAGTCAGAGTTCAGTGATTCGCACAGTGTATGCTTGTGAGCACATTTCAAGGTTTCAAATGGATTATATTGTAATCTTAATTATTAGTTGGAGGGTTTATGGTACATCTTTTCTGCTTGGTTTCCTTGATATAACAGATCTGTGAATTCGAAATACGTTTTACTATCAATATCACTTAAATGTTGGTGTGTTATCAAAAACATTCTGTGCTAACTTCGCTTGTTATATTTGGCCTATGAATTATATAAATACGAAACGTTTATCAATGGCACTTAATGGATTGTGTATTATGACAGATATTTTGTGCTAAATTTCATTGCTATATCTCGCCTGTCAACCTGAAATATCAATCAATTATCAATCTTACTTAATTGTTAGAATTCTTTATGACAGATATTTTGCGCTAAATTTCATTGCTATATCTCGCCTGTCAACCTGAAATATCAATCAATTATCAATCTTACTTAATTGTTAGAATTCTTTATGACAGATATTTTGCGCTAAATTTCATTGCTATATCTCGCCTGTCAACCTGAAATATCGATCAATTATCAATCTTACTTAATTGTTAGAATTCTTTATGACAGATATTGCTATATCTCGCCTGTCAACCTGAAATATCAATCAATTATCAATCTTACTTAATTGTTAGAATTTTTATGACAGATATTTTGCGCTAAATTTCATTGCTATATCTCGCCTGTCAACCTGAAATATCAATCAATTATCAATCTTACTTAATTGTTAGAATTTTTATGACAGATATTTTCTAAATTTCATTGCTATATCTCTGTCAACTTGAAATATCAATCAATTATCAATCTTACTTAATTTTAGAATTTTGATGACAGATATTTTGCGCTAAATTTCATTGCTATATCTCGCCTGTCAACCTGAAATATCGATCAATTATCAATCTTACTTAATTGTTAGAATTCTTTATGACAGATATTTTGCGCTAAATTTCATTGCTATATCTCGCCTGTCAACCTGAAATATCAATCAATTATCAATCTTACTTAATTGTTAGAATTCTTTATGACAGATATTTTGCGCTAAATTTCATTGCTATATCTCGCCTGTCAACCTGAAATATCAATCAATTATCAATCTTACTTAATTGTTAGAATTTTTTATGACAGATATTTTGCGCTAAATTTCATTGCTATATCTCGCCTGTCAATCTTAAATACGCACCGTTTATCAGTGTTACTTAATTGTTAGAGTTCTTTATGGCAGATATTTTGCGCCATCTTTCCTGTTGTAAGGGATCTGTGAATTCAAAATATGCAACCCTTTATTAGTAATGCTACTTTAGTGTTGGCGTGTAACGGCACATATTCTGTGCTAGTTTTGAATGTTATATCGGGTCTGTGAATTTGGAATCCGCAAGTTTATCAGTGGTGCTTAGTTGTTATCGTGTAATGCAGACATTGTTGCTTAATGGTTTTTTATTGGGTCTCCGTAGTAAAATATCCAACGTTTATCAGTTTTACTCAGTTGTAAGTGTGCTAACTGTTTTATGGAGTCTGTAATTTGAAATAGGCAACGTTTATTAATATTACATACTTAGAGTTGTTTAGGGCAGATATTTCCCCCCGTTTTTCTTTGTTATACCATGTCTATACTTAATTGTTTACATTTTGCACAACTTTTGATTGTTATATCGAGTCCGTCAGTTTGAAACAGGAACCGTTTATCAACACAAGTTAATTGCTGTTATGGCAGACATTTTGTGCTATCTTGATTTCTTTATTGGGTCTCTGTATCAATTTTACTCAGTTGTAAGTGTGCTAAATTCCAATGCTTTATTAGGTCTGTAATTTGAAATAGGCAACGTTTATCAATATTTATATGGTTATCGCCAATATTTTATACAAATTTTCAATATGATTCATTCACCCAAGTGTGACGTTTGTTTGTGCAGTATATCTTGCGCTAATTTTGATTATTATACAGGATCTGTCAATTTGAAAAAGGCAACGTTTATCAACTCAATTTTTATGGCACATGTTTTGTGCATTTATTCTCTATTATATCTTCTTATCAATAATACTTAATTGTTGGGTGTTGTGGCAAATATTTTGTCCTAAATTCGATTGTTGTATATCCTCTTTGAATTTGAAAAAGCAACGTTCATCAACACCACTTATTTGTCGGTGTGGTATGGTAGATATGCTGCACAAAATGTCCCATGTTTTACTTTATGGCCCAAACATACCCACGTAGAACAAAATGTGTTGCTGGTGGATAAATCGTGTTTATGGACGTAATGAGGGTACACTAAAACAGAAATAAGCGTTAATGTGGGCTTGGTGCACCCGCCACAGTCAACAGTAGCACGATGGGGTCAATTTTTCATTTCAATGGACTAGCCACCGGTAAAGGATCTAGCAAGGCAACGTTGTCTCATTGAATGCCTAACACCCGTAAACACAGAATTGCCATTGCTATACCAACATGGCGCCCAGCTCTTGACCATTCTGAAATTGACGTCTCAAGGCACGAAAGCTTCTTCCAAGGGCATCCTGTACGCATTGCTCGATGGGAATGAGCTCAGGTGATCTCGATGGCCACTCTATAGCGTCAATACCAGCAATATGCATGATATTTAGCGATCTGTAGGTGCAGTTGTGCCCATCGTAGACGTTCCCTTGGTTTACCTGTGTCAGAATCGGCCCAACATAGGGACCTTCTGTACGAAGATGGGCAGTACGCAAGCGGTTTCGTATGGGCTGGGCAGTTACGCGACCCCTAAACCGCAAGTACGTTACTGGTTGACGTTGGTCATTCCGGAAGTGATGTGGCCGAATGTGATTGTTCTCAGCATATGTCGTCACACACAGCCGTCCTGGTCCGGGGCCGTTTGATGCACTCTTGTGCCCAGGTTGTGAATTGTCTAACGTTCATTTTGTTTACATCTCTGTAACTTTGAAATACTCACGTTTGTCAGTAATGGTTCATTATTTATGGCAGATGGTTTGTACTTCTTTCCGTGTTATAAAAGGCCTGTGAATTTATAATACGCAACGTATTTTTATCAATACGACTTGGGGTGTAGTGGCTTATATTCTGTGCTGAATTTGATTGTTTTTATCGTTCTTTGAATTTTAACTTTTATTAAATAGAAGTGACAAAATATTTTCCATATCCAGAAGACATATCTGCTGAAAGCAGAGTCGATTGAACAGTTGTGACTATATATATATTTATATTGCAAGTCTGGACCAGACACACATCTTGTAACCGTGTTTCGGCTGATTTTTGTGCTATTTTAAGTGTTGTATCCGATCTGTGAATTTGAAATATTTAAACGTCTTATTACCAGTTCTACTTCATAGTTAGTATGTTCTTGCAGATATGTTGACCTTGTTTCGTCTGTCTATCTGTATTTGATTGAAATATATTGGTGTCATTATATAGAGGTCATTGAATGATTGATTTATGCCTTTGAAGTTTTACGTTTCTTCACAGAAACTTGCTATTTATAGCTGTAGAAATATCAAAAACTGTATGCTTGTTTTTGATTTGACATTCTTCTTTGTTAAGGATATAACAATCATCCAGTTTTCTAATATTGCTCGTATATTTCTATTCGGTGTTGAATTAATATCATTTTTATCAATATTTCCATGTGCAAAGGTTCAGAAATTCATTTTTTTAAAATTTATTTTGGTTTTGTATGACGCTGCTCTATTGGGAGCTAAATTATTATCATACTTGTGATCTTTGTTGTGCAATGTTTCAGTGAATCATATTTTGGTTTTGATCGAAATTGCAGTAAATTGAATTGTAAAACTATGTTTTCCTTACGATTTGACCTTTGATGTTTGACGCTTGGTGAAAAATGTCAAGAGAAGCAATAAAAAACATTTCGTTTTGTTCGTGAGAATTGGTTAAATATTTTTCGGACGTGGTTGGAATAATATCAAGTGGAACGTACAATGTTGGAAGGCACGGTAACGACAAACTGTCCTCACGAGCAGCGCTCTGGCCGTATGCTATGGAGTCACACTTCACACTGCCTGTATTGAGTGTGTCGCCCTTGTTCACTGATCTGTCTCTAAGGCGACTAAACCTTGTGAGAATGCCTGGAGAATGGCAATAACTATATGAGAAATAGTGAGTGAGTTTAGTTTTACGCCGCCATTTGCAATATTCCAGCAATGTCACGGCGGGGGACACCAGAAAAGGGCTTCACATATTGTACCCATGTCAGGATTTGAGAGGGGAGATTTTTCCTGACATTTTGTTGGAGGATTACGTTACAAATGTCATTAGATCCAGATGGGGATTTCGGGTCTGATTGCGGGTCTCCGGCAATCAATGGTTGTCATAGTAACCTAAATGATGTTGATACAGTACACATCAGTATCCGTCATCAGGTTGTCGAACTTCGAGTTGCCTTTTACATCTCGGAAAATATTTCTTCCATAATGTATGCCCCATTCCCTTCCTTAATTTTTTGTCTGAGGTTCATTTCGTCGAAAATGACCTTTCCGGACCGAAACCAAAGCGAGAATGTTCTACAATTCATAACATTAGCTCCGTCCTAATCTCTTGCTTGTGGTATCATGGGGTTTTCCACTGTCATATCGTGTTGTTAGATTAATGCTCATGATTTCAATCACTGGATTATCTGGGCCTGCTTCGGCCATTTTCAGACCTTCGTTATAAGGCTGACATATTGCCCGAATACCGCGTTAAGCTACAAGAAAGCGTTACATCGTATACTTGTTCGGTTACAAAAGCACATCATTAGGCACACATTCTAGGAGAGTTTGAATTAAGTTAAGATTGTCGCACATCACAGCATTTACATACCAACAATATGTACAGTTATACATTTCATAAATGTCCGACCACTAGAGCTGAATATCCGTTGAAGCGTATGTAAAATATTTTGCAAACAGTGGGCGTCAGGATTTCTCCCAAATATACGCCAATGTGAACATAACTTGATGGGAAGTAATATTTCACAGTACTGAGTGCAGAAACAGTAATTACTTTATTTACAGCTAGTCATAATAGCATCAACAAAATTTCAAAATGAGTTCGCGGTAACCATCAAAGGGAGATAACTCTGAAAATGTTAAAAGTGTCTGAAGCGTCCCCACATTACCTCTGAGGTGATCGAAAAATAGGAACATTATGGAACACATCATTTGTGACTTGCTGTGGACGTGTGGATGAAATTGATTGATATGCCTTGATCTTCAAGAGTGCCCAGAAATGTATATCGATATTAAGAAATTTATAATATTTTGGAGACTAAGCGTTTGTCTGAAGCAACTATTACTTAATATAGTTCCATTGTCGACGAAATTTCACGTTTCATATCCAGCCACAGTTGAAGGGGCCTACGTAAAGTACGTAGTTATCCGATGTTCGACACAACTTAAAATAGTTACTGAATAAGGAATATACAGGGACCAAGCTTTTACTTCGAGACAACCGAGGTAAAATATATGTTCGTAAATGCTTTAAATTATTCAAGGTTCGATACAACTGAAAAATAACTGAATAAAATAAAGAAC